CCCAGCAGTGTGACTCTGCTGCACTGTATGTTTGTACGTTTTCTCCCCAACAAACACAACAACGTCGATGAAACGTTTTGCACCATCAAAGGCTCCTGTGGTAGCACCCAAAGGCAGAGCAAGATGCTAAAGGAAGGTAGAAGTTACTAGGGCAGGGCAATATGGCCAAAAATATTTATCGCGATATATATTTAAAAGTTGCGATAACGATATAACTGACGATATAATTTACGTGAAACAAAATACTTTACAACTCCACAACTTTATTAGTGCAAATAAAAAAATCAATGTATTTTCACTTAAACAAGCAGCTGTTTATCTGCATTAAAGTTATATAAAAATGTAACAGTGCAAATGCAAATTCCAGTTTAACCAAAAGGCATTTCCAGTGGAAACTGGCCGACATATCCTCAGCATAACATGTATAACATCCACAAAACTTAAGAGGTTATACACACACAGTACGGTAACATTATGTTGAAGCACAGCACGTATCACTCCGTGAGGCTCCGCCTACGACAGCTGTAATGCTCCGACAATCCATCAAGCGGTGCGGCTTCGTAGCTTAGCAGAGTCGCACTGAAACATCTGACGGCTTTTCGAGCGCCGTGCACATAAAATCGTTTCTGTAATAACGACGGCCCGCTAGCACACGCTACCAAAAAATGTGCTTTGTTGTGTATCTGACGGACGAAAGCTACACCAGTTCCACACCAGTGAAGCTGCAGCATTTTTACAAACCAGCTCTGGTTCATCGTTTCATTCAACGATCCGCTTTCGCTCTTCTCGTTCTGCGTCGCCGCCATGCTTTTTCCGCCATGTGCGTATGAAAACAAAGGCGCTGCGCATGCGCGTTTTACCCATATTCTATCGCGATATCTCATTTTCTTATCATTGCCCAACATTATACTGGTATTACTGGTATGATATGGCCCAGCCCTAGAAGTTACTGTATGTTTTAGATTATAATATAATACTGGACTTATTTTTCCACGAATGTTTGAACTCTGAGAGAGTTTAAACAAGAGACAAATGTGTGAAGATGTTCACGCCTGTCTGAGTGTATAAAGTGTGTAGTGAGGTTTTACAGCCTTAAAACTTTATAATAATTGTAGAAAATAAAGCTGACTTTGCTGATGATCGTGGGTTATTTTTAGACCGTAACTCGCGTGATAAACGAGGGAGCGCTGTGCAGTGTACAGTTTCCAGTCTGTGATGATTGTAGATGCTGTATCATGCGCTTCGTTGATGCTGATTGGTCCATTATGTCTTATCAAAGTCAAAGACAGCGCAGCCATCTGCCAGGAACGTTTAGAGCATTCCTCTGCTGACGAGCTGGTCAAAGTGCCACAACTACTACCAGTGATTGGCTGACCATGAGACTGTGCTTGATTGGCCAACCACCTTGCCTAACCTGAAGCCAATAGAGAACCTACTGCTTATTATTATCAAGAGGAAACAGCAGCAGTCTGATGCAGCAGACATGCAGCTCTGTAGTTCAGGCTTTGCCACAGTAATGTGGGATCACTGAGGGACAGTACTGGTGCAAACCCAGCTTTGCACTACGCTGCTTTTGAGTTATATGATGACATTTAGAATAATTGTTGACAGCGACAGTATAGTTTGTGAAATTATCAAACGATACTGTCCATGCACAGTATCGTCACCTGGTGTAGTCACCTGCAGATATCACCTGGTCCACTATCTGAATTCATTTACAAAGTGATGGTTAAAGGACGTCTCACTCTTCATGGGTTCATCGGGTAACTCGCAGTCACTGAGGGCCCTTTGTAACATCTCACACATACTTTAGTTGCTATGATACACAATATCTCAGCTGTAAAAACCCTGCACTTCCCAAGTGTTCCCAAGAGCTCCCAGCTGGACGCTTCCAGCTGGTAAAAACACTTTAGTATGCATGCATGTGTCACGTGATCCAAGCAGATGAGATCTGTAAGTGATCATATAAGTTTGTTTATTCAGCACTCGTACAGTTAGCAGTGTCCTATAGCACAGACATAATGTGCCCACTGTACACAGACCAACACTCTGAGGGCATTTATGTGGATGCTGTGGGTCATTACTTACTGTGGATTCAACTCCTGGCTTTGATCCCTGAAACATTGACCCTTCAGTGGAAGCGTGCTAAAAACAGCAACACAAACAACTTTAATGAGACTCACTAAACACCAAATGTTTGAATGCACATCTGTCAGTGTCTCCTAGCAGCACAATTCACCGAGTGAGGGATGTTTGCACGTGTAGGTGGCGTTCTGGGCCCTGGCTGAGCAGTCAGGGCGCTCTGATGGTTCACTGGACATCTTATTGATACGGAGAGTCGAGAGGAAACTGCTCATGTGTGTTTCAATTTGATGCAATCTTTTTCTGATGCTCGTTCTCGCTCTGTCTTTGATGAGGCAGCGGCTTCCTTGAAGCTCGCGTGTGGTAACCTCTTGAGGTTTCTTAGCGAGGCATGAGCTCATAATCTCCTCTTCATTCTCCTTTACAATCTATTGAACTTCTGTCAATTATAGACACACAGCAGCAGAGATGTCTTTGTGCTCACGGGGACTGATCTGCTTTCCCAGCATGCCGCTGTGCCGTGTCTGTTCTCCCGAGATGTTCTGGTTCCCCGAGAGTTGTCATTGTATTTTTATCTCTAAATACAAGGACCTCAGTGTGTGTGTGTGTGTGTGTGTGTGTGTGTGTGTGTGTGTGTGTGCCTGTCTTGAATCAGTGTGCAGTGTCTTGAAGAAGATGGAGGAGCTGAAGTCCTTTCAGAGGGAGGCGATCAAGGTTTATTTAAACACTTCCACTCTTTAATCCAGCAGTCTCAGTGATTTACCACTGATGATTTAAAAACATAATCTCGTCACGTTTTTATGACTCAAGCATTTGTTCATTTTTAAATAAACTCATTTTAGCATTAATTGTTGTCTTTAGGAGAACAAAGTGTTTTTTCTCCATGACCTGGACTAAATGCATGAGTTTCAGCTTAGAGAGCACCTGCATTTGTTTTACGAGCCAAACCCATCGTGGTGAAGTGGAATGTAGAAAAAATCATTTGATCTTTGCTTCTTGTTTTTGTTTTTTCTGATTGATGCAAGTCAAAAATGTTATTTCAAATATAATTTGGTGAAGTTTGTGATTCCAGTGTTATTTATAAAAATGGACCGAGCATAACTTCTGATGTGTAGGACAGCTCCAGTATCTGTTTATAAAACCTTTCCATGGGTTCTGTGTGTGTGGAAGTGACTCAGTGGGTAAACACTCACCTGAACACAAGACTGACGCACGTTTTGAGACCTGAATTTGGGCTCGATGTTCATTTTCGATGGCCGAGCTTTCAGAACTGTTCGGCCAGTTTTGAAATTCGTCTTGAATCAACGTGAAATGGAAAAATTAAATATCGTTTTTTTGGCATTTGCCTTAATTACATAGTGACGAGGAAGACAGACTCGAAGCCAGGACACTGCTCTGTGGTTGCTGCTTACCCGCTGAGCTACGCTGGCACAAGCGACGTTGTGAAATTTTCTTTCACAATAAGCTGTTGAGAGTGCCGTGACTCATCAGCCTTGCACCTGTGAATTGCATATAACCTTTGCATTTCCTCTGCTGTTGCTAAATGATGCAGTCATGGAGGCGTCCACAGACAGATACTGAAGCAGTGGGGCAAAGGACAGAGACCAAAGAGAGGGCTCTGAGAGGACATGCACATAGCTGTGGATGTTTCTGAAGACATTTGTGGTGATAATGAAACATAAGTGTGAAAGGTTTAACCTCCTGCTGCGTCCTTTAAACAACCTGACGGTGCACGCTGGGCAGTCTTGGTTTTTAGAAACGAGTATGTTGCAAATCATTTCCTGTACCTTTATAAAATGTCCTGACTCATGTGTTGGCCATTGGTTTTGTTAAATAATAATTCAATGCTTCCCATAAAAAGGGAAGATTGTGAATTTGAGATACAGATGACGTGTTTCCTGCTACTGAGTTCTTCTTTCTAAGATCAGCTGGAGACGATCTTTAAATCCAGCAGAGTCGCAGAAAAAACAAGCAAGACCAGAAACGGCAGATCTGCTTGTTGGACCTGGGTAGACCTGCATCACCAGGGTCCAGAAGAACCCTGGATAGACCCGGCTGGCCAGAAATGCTGATGACATCCTGGACACTTGTGACATTTGTAACCCTAACCCTCTTAAATACATACAATGCTAGCAATTGCATTCTGCTCGTAAATGCTGGAAATATGATCTGCATGGACAGAAATAGAGTTGCACACACACACGATGTGCTTCTGCCTCCTGTGGGTGTGTGTTTGGGAGCAGAGCTTCACAGTAGCCATGGTTTTCACCTCTAATCTCTCCACCAGACTGGCCTCGTTATGTAACCATGAACCCACAGCAGCACAAACATGCACTCGTCCACTGCCGTGACCCTCGTTCTTTCATTTTTCCATTTAGTTTTGTGACTGGTCGACTGACGTCAGGCGCTGAAATATAAACGTAAATATTTCTATTTAACGGGATGCAGCCGCTCTCTGCGCAGCATGGGCAGCTGAGCCATAGGCTGACAGTGTCAGAGAGCGTGTGCGTGTCTTTGTGTAAAAGCGGGAGCATCAAAGTGAGTGTGCTGCCTTTCAACTGTCAGCCTTCCTCTGCTCATTAATTTATTCATCACTCTGGAGCTCCTCTTCATGCCCTGCTCTGCGTCTCTGTCTCTCTTCATCATGTCTCCGCTCGTGCTTTTCCTCCCTAATCTTTTCCATAGCTCTGTTATTTGTCTCTCGTTCTCCCCGTTCCCTCTTCCTACATTTCTGAGATCTGATTTCGTCCCATTAGCTGCAGCTCCAAATGAATCGTACCTGAAATGTATTGTAGAATTGAATATTTCCATGAAACACTGAGATCTAAATATATCCTGGTGACATCTGAACGATTGCTCGCAGAAACGAGCTCCACCGTAAAACTGCAGCTGCTGACGGTGATGTGTTTTCTTTACAGACATTTAAGCCGGTGGTGGGGGAGCGCCTGTTGTCTTCAGTGGCAGCAGTGGAATTCTTATTGGACCGGCAGCTGGACTTCCTGTCAGACCACTCAGCCTACCATCCGTACCAGGTATTCACAGCTGGACGGGCTTTTTTCATCTCAGTGTTGGTGTTTGCTGTTTCGATTACGCAGAGATTGAAAAGACTACACCAGCAGCTGTGCTTTTCTATTTCCAGATATTTGCTTTTACGTGCATACTTTCATTAAAATGTCTGAAAGTCAGGTAAAGAAAAATCCTTGAGATGAATTTTTGTTTCATGCCACTTGTTCAGCATTCCTGCCTCTCGCTGTGATCACGCTTATTCGTGATATTAAACAAATTTATCAGACGTATTTTAGGATCTTGTTGCATGAGTCACTGCACTTGGCCCTACTAACCTAAAAGCAGAATTTAGCGTCTTCATTGTAGTTTCTAGTACGTCGCTGCACTTAGAGTGAAATCGACCGTGGTCATAGTAGCAGGAAACAGCTTGATAAGCAGTGGAAGGAATTTCCCTGCTGATGCAATCATGTATTACAGTTATTATTTGATTTCTATTCACTCTCTAGACTTTCATGTCTCATCTCCACATATGACAAACACATACGTGTCCAGGCACGTGTGGACGCACACAGGACTTTAACCCTTTAAAATAATGTGAGTGTCTGCACCGATCCGTCATCATCAAATAAGAGAAAACAGACGGAGAGTGTTTCTGGTGGTCAGCCTGCCAGGTGCGCGGTGGCACAGATGGGCACGTTCGTGACGCTTGTTCATCTCCTGAACTTTTGTCCTGCAAGAGATTTCTGTCAGGAAGAGTGGAGGGAGACAGGGTGGCCCACAGAGTAACGCAGACTTGTTAGTTAGTAGTAAAACATACAGAGCTCCTGGGAATAGTGAGCATGTCACCTGTACACCTGCAGGTTGAACAGCATTACGTCATAAATGTTTTTGATGCTAGTTCATGTTGTCTGTTTGTCTGCAGAAACACTTGACAGGAACTCTGCGCTGACAGCGAGCTTTGAGTGGTCTGCTGTTACATTAGCACACAAACCCACACTGCAGATAGAAGTGGTCAAGTGAGGCTGATAAATGTCTGATATCCATCTATTGTAGGCCAACTGTGGGTCACTGTGTTTGCAGCACCCAGGCAGGAGCCTTGGATGATGAAAGCTATACAGTGCACATCAGTAACAGCTTGTTTTGTTTGACCAACAGTTTAAAATCCACAGTTTGTCTGTTTAATGAAGAAATGTGTCCTTCAGCGATTATGATGGGTTGGATATACAACTGAATAGCAGGTAGTGAAGGTGCATTCAAACTATTAGATAGGAAGAAACACTGAGTAGGCCCTGGACTGGATGAGCGGAGGACTGATGTGTGCAGGTGAAGAGCGTCAGCTACGATCATGAATCTAAGGCTGAATGTCAGGATGTATTCCTCATAGGCTGGGTGTCAGAAGAAAAAGACATTCTGGGGTAAGTTGGATAACGTGGTCGTGAGTAGAAATCGGTGGCTGCAGCTCATTGGACGCGTAGGCACAGGAAGTAAACGGACTTCTCTCTGTACGTGCCTCATTCATCCATTCATTCAAGCACTTGTTTAAAGTGCTTTCTATGATTACACTGACAGAGGGAGACTGCTATCATAACAGTCTCCCTCTGATGGACCCATTAGAGAGCAGGTTGGTCTTAATACCCTGCCTAAGAACATTGGGCATGCAGACTTACCTTTCAGCGGGTAGATGGTCCCGCTCTACCTCCTGGGCTACAGCCGCCCCTGAACAGAGGTTGATTAGATGGTGTTGGGTCGATAAGGAGGGCAGTGGATGTTGTGAAAAGGCTGTGGTCAGTATAGACGTGCAAAAGTGGATGAACGTACACACAGGTGGACTGCATGATTTTCAGAAGCTGCAATTTGAAAGAGGGACTGTGAGGTGGCAGTAGCTGCCGGGGGAGTGGTCAGGGGCTAGTTTGTCGGATGAGTTTGGAAATCAAGAAGAGGAAGTGAACTAAGACAAAAGGCTTGGATTACATGGTGGAAACTAACGAAGAAAGAATGTTGGTGAGGGGAAGATTTGAGCTGGGCGATGAGTGGCAGGGACGAGTCACCAGATGACTGATAAAGTACTGCCAGGAAGGTGTTTGATCTCATTACTAACTTCTTCCTCTGGAGCCTACAGAGCAAGAGCCGCGGTTTAGAATGAGTAAAGAAAAGTCAGGGAGATGCAGACAGGAGTACTGGGAGACTAGTATGGCATATAGAGAGGTGGGAATGGTTTATAGTGAGTTATAGGCGAGGCTGGATACCAGAGAAACACAGTGGGACCTGTATCAGCTGGCTGGGCAGAGATCAGGGATACAGATGGAAACATAATGAGTGAGAGGATGCATGAAGAAGTGTACTGTTACTGGTTTTAAAGAGCAAAGGTGATGTGCAGCACTGTAGTAACTACAGAGGGACGCGCTGATGTGATGCTCACGGGGCAGCAGAGTTAGAGTTAGAGAGACTATGATTGTGCCAGGAGAGTAAATGTGGTGCTGCATGAGGACGTCAGGAGAAGAGAAGTATGTGAGGATGGTGCAGGGCATCCACGGGGATAGCGACACAGTGGTGAAGTGTGCAGCTGCTGGATTACACCAGCATCTGCTTCGAGCCCCTCAGATGAGGTCATGCAGGAGTGTGTGCGGAGTATGATGTTTGCAGACGGCAGAGAAGAGAAATCAAAGTCATTAGAAGCAAGACGGAGTTAGAGAGAGAGAAGCAGGTGTCGATGAGGCTCTTACACCAAGACGGGAGGCTGAGGATGCTCAGATGTTCATTGGGAGTGAGCAGCATTAGAAACGAGTCCATCGGAGCAGCAGTTCAGGCTGAGACGTTTGGGCATGTGCAAAGCAGGGATGGTGGAAATACTGGACAAAGTGTGATGAATGTGGAGCTACTGGGCAGATTTCATGGATGTAGTGACAGAGGAGGATACGGAGGACAGGGTGAGATGGAGGTGAATGATCTGCTGTGGCAACGCCTGAAGGCTGTAGCTGGAAAGAAGAAGCAGCCTATAAAAATGAGATGAAACTGAAACAGCCTTAATAAAAATGATGAACAATCATAGTACTTTGTTACTTTTGATATGTGTGCCGCTGAGTGCTGGTGCCTTTTCTTTAATGAGCGGAAATGAAAATGGCCACGTCGTTCCTGCTTTACTCTACGCTCCAACCATACTGGTCCCATTTCTGTTGTGGCCAGAAGGCTCATTAAAGCAGGAATGTTGATTTGAAATGAGCCTTCTGGCTGTCCTGTCCTAACCTGCTCACAGCGACTGAGAGCAGCGTGGAAACTCAGACCTCCCTGCTGCCTTTATGCGAGTGATGATTTTCATCAAGAGGATTTCTTTACTAAGAACGTCAGATCTGTTGATTTTGAGCACATTTTGTACACATTGTAACCAAATTAAACGTGCTAATGAAAAATGAGTCATTCATAATTATGTTGGATACAGCAGCCATGGAGGGACGCTGGCTGTGGAGCGCAGGGAGGTCTGTCTGCTGGATGTAACACTGCCAAACCTGAACATGACCATAAGCTGCGTGTGCAGTCTGTCCTCTGATTGACATGTTTGCACGTGACTGACTCACACCTGCACATTAGCACACAGACACACTTGTGCTGTGCGCGCTTGGTGAGGCGGTTTGATGTTCGTGTCAGTGCTGTGCAGCTGAACGCAGCTTGTTGTATTATGTTGGCTGGAACAGTGTGTTCCTCTCGGTGCCTACCTAATGAGAACTGTTCTGCACTCACTGTCTTGGGCAGAAGTTCATATTTAACCCAAGTCAGAAAAAGCAACATGTATTGTGTTTGCAGTCAGACAGAAGTTGAATCAGCTGCTGCCGTGATTTGTTTTATAGATTTCCACACACTGTACGACTTTTATGCATGATGTAGCGTGATTGTTAGAGTAAACAACACGGCCACTGAATGTGCAAATACAGTATATCAAAATTAGGCATGCAAATCCATCCATCCATCCATGCTCTTCCACTTATCTTTATCAGGCTCGCGGGGGCTGGAGTTTGTCCCAGCTACCATAGGGCGAGAGGCGGGGGTGCTCTGTGGACAGATCTGCTCACAGGGGAGAGAGACGAGCACCCACATCCACACCTGTGGACGATTTAGAATCACCAGGTGACCTCCCCTCACCCTCAGCTGGTGGCAGCAGATCGTAGGGGGCTGCTTGGTTGTTGGGGCCTCTCTGTATCAGTATAGAGGTCTTTGCCTTTCAATATTAAATGCTTTGAGACAACTCATTGTGATCTGGTGCTGTATAAATAATATTGAAAGGAAGTCAAATGAATACACACTTCATGATAAACCACATGACTACAATATACACACTGACACTACACAGTCTGCCACATGAGTGGTGACTGAAACAGGAAGGAGTGTCAGGTTGGAGGGGGCAGTGCTGACTGCAGAGGAGTTGTAACACACACACACACACACACACACACAATGCAAATTCCTCTATTCTTAAATCACTCATGTTCACACAGAGCTCCCCGTTCTTTAGTAAAAACAGTCGTGTGTCTCACTCTCTGTGCGCTGCAGCCTCAGAGAGTTTTATTTCTTTCTTTTTGGAGTTGGACAGGAAGAAGAGAGTGGGAGGGGGCGGGGACTGCAATCTGTTTGGCATAAACGCTACAATGAAGTCAGTGTTTAGTGGGCCAACCCAGGCTGCTGCTCAGTTCTGTGTGTGTGTGTGTGTGTGTGTGTGTGTGTGTGTGTGTGTGT